TCTTATAGTGGCGAAACATCTAGTATTCGATGTTATCACTGTAAGAAGGAGGGTCACATAAGAAAGGTATCCCCTGAACGCCAGAAAGATCATAGAGGTAATGACAATGCAACCATTGTTCAAGATGACTTCGACTCATCTGATGTTCTTGTGGTTTCAAGTGGCGACTCGAGGAAAGAGTGAATTATGTATTCAGGTTGCACTTGGCACATGACTCAAAACAGATAATTGTTCGATGAGCTATGTGATCAAGATGGTGGATCTGTGCTGCTGGGAAACAACAAATATTGCAAAATTGCAGGTATTGGATCTGTGAGATTCAAGCTCCATGATGAGTCAATAAGGTTGTTGACTAAAGTCAGGTACGTACCTGACTTGAAGAGAAATTTAATTTCTCTTGGTGAATTCGCCAGAAAAGGATACGTTTTTCAAGGAGAGAAAAGTATCCTAATAGTCATGAAGGGTTCGAAGGAAGTCTTGAGAGGCGTGAAGAAACAAGACTTGTATACCCTTGAGGCTGAGATTGTAAGTGGTTTGAAAAATGTTGCATCCACGAAACTTATGTCGAAGACAAAATTATGGCACGTGAGATTGGGCCATGTCAGCGAAAGAGGTCTGGTCGAATTGGGGAAGCAGAACCTGCTAGGAGGTGACAAAGTCGAAAAGTTAGAATTTTGTGAATCTTGTGTATTTGGTAAATCCTGTAGGGCGAAGTTTAACAAAGGCAAGCAAATAACACATGGATCCCTATATTACATTCATGCTGATCTTTAGGGGCTTGCAAGGAATCCTTCACACTCAGGTGCAAGGTATTTTCTATCCATCGTTGATGACTATTCTAGAAAGTTATGGGTATTCATTCAGAAGACGAAGGATGAAACTTTTGAGAATTTCAAAAGTTGGAAGATTATGGTCGAAACTCAAACTAGCAGAAAGGTTAATAGGTTGAGAACCGACAATGGCCTTGAATTCTGCAACGAAGCCTTCAACAGTTACTGTGTTGAGTCTGGGATTGCAAGGCATAAGACTGTAGCAAGTACTCCTCGACAAAATGGCTTAGCTGAGAGATTCAATTGAACAATCCTTAAAAGGGTTAGATACATGTTGGTTAGTGCTGGATTAAAGAAGGTGTTTTGGGCGGAAGCTGTTTCGACAACAGCTTACTTGATAAATAGATGTTCCTCGACTGCCTTGAGAATGAAGACACCTGAAAAAGTTTGGTCGGGACATCCACCTAGTCTCGACAAACTGAGAGTATTTGGCTGTGTGGCCTATGCTCATATTAGGCAAGACAAGGTTGAACTTAGAGCTCTAAAGTGCATGTTTATGGGATACCCTGAAGGAGTCAAAGCTTATAGGCTATGGTGCCTAGAGCCAGGTCACAGGAGGTGTATCACCAGTCGAGATGTAGTTTTCAATGAAGCAGAGATGGCTTTCAAGAAAACTGATGATGCCGACGAAGAGCTGGAACAGGGAGAGATTCCTGTTGAGGTGGAACATGTTGATGCTGAATTGCTTACCCCAGATGAAGTCGAAGAAGACGCAGAAGATGTTGTCGAAGATGAGGAGATTGATAATGACTACCTGCTAGCAAGAGACAGGTTAAGGAGAGTCATCAAGCCACCTCAGAGACTTGGGTATGCAGATCTTATAGCTTATGCCTTAATCTCTGCTAGTGAGGTTCTAGATGAAGAACCTAGAGACTATAAGGAAGTTATGAGGAGTTGAAAGAAGACTGAATGGCTGAAGGCCATGGATGATGAGATGAAATCTCTTCATGATAACAACACATGTGAATTGATCAAGAATCCTGCTGGAGCCAGGTTAGTCAGCTGTAAATGGATTTTCAAAGTTAATGAAGGAATCGAAAGAGTGACGTCGAAGAGATACAAGGCAAGATTGGTTGTTAGGGGGTTCACTCAGAAAGAAGGTAATTCATTTGTTATTTTGTTGCTTTATGTGGATGGTATTATAATAGCAAGCAACAATGTCGGAGAGGTAATGAGGGTGAAGGCTGAACTCAATAAAGAGTTCGACATGAAGGATCTGCGAGCTGCGTCCATGATTCTTGGGATTGACATCTGGAGAGATAAAAAGCAGTCGAAATTATGCTTATCTCAAGAGGCATGCCTACAGAAGATTCTTGAAAAGTTTGGTATGTTGAATTCAAAGCTTGTTGTGACTCCGACAAACCCTCAATTTAAGCTGAGTATAAACCAGTGTCCCAACACTGATGTTGAAAGAACTTATATGAATAACATTCCATATGCTAACATAGTAGGTTCTTTGATGTATGCTATGGTCTGTACTAGACCCGACATAGCATATGCAGTAAGTCTTGTAAGCAGGTACATGGCGAATCCTGGAAAGGCTCACTGGCAAGCATTAAAGTGGATTTTAAGGTACATAAATAGGTCTCTGAATAGATTCCTAATTTATGATGGAGCCTTGGGTGAAGATAGTAAAACAACAATCGAAAGATGTGTCGACTCTAATTATGCAGGTTGTATGGATTCCATAAAATCTATCTCTGGATATGTGTTCACTATGTTTGGGACAACAATCAGTTGGAAAGAAACACTTCAGAAGGTCGTTGCCTTATCAACCACTGAAGCAGAGTATATTGCCCTAACTGAAGCTGTGAAGGAAGCATTGTGGCTTGAAGGTTTTGCAAAGAAGCTAAAACTTCAAGGTTGAGTTATCACTGTTAAATGTGATAGTCAAAGTGCAATACACCTATCGAAGAATTCAGCCTATCATGAGCGAACCAAACACATTGATGTGAGGTTGCATTTCATCAGAGGGGTAATCGAGCGTGGAGAAGTCCAAGTGCTGAAGGTTTCGACAGATCACAATGCTGTTGATATGATCACCAAAACGTTGTCTAGTTGCAAGTTTTTCCACTGTATGCAGTTAATAAAGCTGCACGAAGAAAGCTAGTTTCTTGATGTTATAGAGTTAGATCCAAGGTAGAGATTTGTGAGATGTTGGTTTGAACTCTAGTATAGTCGAAGTCTGTTCTAACATGCATTAGTCAATATTGTTAGGGTTGTTAGCATGTTGAATTGGGCCTTGCTTGTAAGCCCAATTGTTTAAGTTAGCTTGTACCCTAAGTTAGCTTGTAATGGATAATTGTTAAAAAGCCCGTTAGGTTAGTGTGCTATTTTATTATAAATAGGATGCTAGTTTCTCAATCTTGGCATAAGGAAAAATAAGAAGATAAAATCCTAATTTCAAGAGAGAGAGGTTATTTTTGTTATTATTGTATACTTGTATTCTTGTTCTAAGAGAAAGGAAAGAATATCAGTTTAATAACCAATCCTTGTTGTTTTCTTCTTTATTAACCCTAACCCTTTTGTGTTTCTTGCTAAGAAACCGTTTATACTTTATTTAAAGGTATCCGATTCACAACACCTTAAATATTTATTATTCTTTCTCCTATCAATTATGTATATTTATCTTTTCCACATCATTAGTGAATAACAAATTTATAAAAACCTTTATAATTTTTCTTTTTCATACAATAATCATCACTTTTCTTAATACAATAAAAAATTTAAAACGATATATATATATATATATATATATATATATATATATATATATATATATATATATATATATATATATATATATATATATATATATATATATATTAAAAATATTTATAATTTTTATAACTATAAACACTATAAATTAGTTTTTATTTGATAAAATAAAATATAGTTATAAAAATTTTTTATATATATATATATATATATATATATATATATATATATATATATATATATATATATATATATATATATATATATAAAACAAAAATGTAATTAAATTGATATATGTAAATCTTAGCAATAAATGATAAATAACGGATAATAAGTGAAAAATGAACTTAATAAAGGGCAATAATAAAATTGTTGGAGAAAGAGAAGGAAGGAAGATGAAATATAAAAGAGGGGAAAATATTGGAGAAAAAGTATAATAATATGCCGTAAATATTCATGATTTTTTATATAAAACTTAATTTTTTTATACTTGAAGTTAAATTAAATAATGTTAATTTATTTAATATTAAATAATTATAACCTCAAAAATCATTTCAAAAACATTTAAAAAAAATCAAAATCTAGTAAATCTTTTCTAAAAGCTCATGTTACAAAACCATTAAAAAATACCCATTTAAAATAAAATAAAAGCATCCCCTTAGAGTATCTTTAGTGAGAGTAAACTAAATGGGTAAACTAAGATATTTTTTGTGGGTCCAAAGTGATTTGTAGGATTTAAAAAATTTATAGTTGATTTGAGTAGTTTTTACTTTAATGGTGGTTGTCTATAAGAAACCAAAACTTGATCCCACATGGTATTAAATGGTTAATAAAAATCTATTATTTATTTTAAATAATTAATAAAAATGTATTATTTTTGTTACATGATGAGTTAGAGTACGTTGCTTGTGTAAACTAATTTTAGAGCATCTCATATGCCATGTCAGCACTACTATAATGCAAATTCTTTATTACTAACGTAAGTTATAAAAAATTTTGGTTTAACAACCCTACATTAAAGTTGCTCTTAGTATAATTAAGAATATCTAAATCATTTTTAACTTATAAAATTAAGAATAGCGAAATCACTTTATCTAAAAGAAATAAAAAAAAATTCCACATTCTAAAATCAAATTCTATAAAAAAAAAATCACATTTCTAGAAACGCGATTGATATTTATTTTTCACATTTAATATTTAACACTAAAAAGAAACATTACTTTTTTATTTTATCAAAAGCATGGATTCTCACGAGTCTCTCAACTCAAACATTGTTCGAAATAATTTGGCATAGTTCCACAAAACCCAACCACATACAGCCACGTCACAGCACCCTTACACAGCGACTCCACCGCAAAGCAACCTTCGTCTCTCCATCCTCCTCCTCTAATTTTCCGATCTATTTCACTCCACCTAATTGCCACCACTCTCTCTCTCTGTCTCTCTGTCTCTATGACGGACCCAATCAAACCTTCCACGTCACGTGGGAGCACCGTGATTCACCCAAGACGCGAGCCATTCGAGTTCGGTCTCTTACCAATCCCAAAGCTCATCTTCTCCGACCCCACACAATCCCTAATCGCATTGAAACAGAAGCTTCTGGACTCGTCCTCAATCAATCGAGTCGACTCAGCCACAATCTCCGATTCTCTCCAGATCTCCGCCGACCAAGCTAGACTCCTCCTCGATACCCTCGCCTCCGTTCACCACTCCGATTCTGAACCTCTTGTAAGGGCTCAGCCTGGACAAAACGACACCGTTGGTGCTGACATTCACGATCTGGTTCTGCTCCTTTACATTCAATCCTACAAAAGGTTGCTTCCCCGCTCTCATAAGGACTCAGCCTCTGTTGCTGATGTTTGGCCTTCTACTTCTGCTTTCGATGGTTACTTTTCTGCTCTCTCTCCTCTTCAGGTTAAGCTCATTTCTCAATTTCCAATCTCAATCCTTGCAATGCAATTCAATGCATGAAATGTAGTTAAGGTTGAGTATCAATTATTATAGTATTTTTGTGGTTTGAATCCTGATATACTTTAGATTTTGGATATAACATTTGTGATTCTTCTTTTGTTTTTGTTTTTGTTCTATTTATGTTTCAATATGAAGTTGCTAACAAGCTTGTTTTAATTCTATAAGCTTCCGGAAGAAAATGGTTTTTCAGTTTAGTTCAGAAGTTTTCTTAGATAAGTTTTTATTAACCCGAGAACTTGAGGAAAAAATATTGTTGAAGTTTTTGAATAATTTACACCATCTGATCACTATAATAAGCACATTTTTTTGTTGGGTTCATTCAACAATGGAAGAATCTGAGATTATATATGGACTAAAATACATCAATTGTTGAATGAACCAAAAAAAGTTAAATTTGCTTCTACTAATGACTCGAGGGTGTACTAAATACTAATACACTTAGCAAAATAGTCGATTTATATACATGATAAGTAAGATTTAGGAGAAGAGGAGTTAAAATTAGTATTAACTCATGCGATACGGGTCTAAGAATGCTGTGAGATCTATGATACATTGATTTTCAATTATTCTTGGAAAGTCGGATCTTAATTTTTTTTCTTCTATTTTCAATTTTTCTTCTATTTTGAGCTTGCTAATATGGACAGCCATTAATAATGTTGACGCTGAATAGTGTTATTTGTGACTCGTCAAATTCAATGTTTTGCAGCTTATGCGCAGCAATAGTAGGCGTTTTATGCCCTCGCAGGCTGATGAAGAGGCACATCAGTTATTGTATCTACAAAAGCACCTGGCTAACATTCTATCACTTCTAGCAGAGCAAGGTGAGAGTCAAGGGGAAGGTGAAGAATCACAGGTTGGTTTGTTAATTTACTTTGTGATACTCATGGTTTTGTAATTTTACCAATGATAGATTATTTCATGTCTACCTTATAAAATGAAATACCGCCAGTTAGTCACTCTGTGATTTCCATGACTGGAATCAGGATCCTGTTTTGATGGCATTCCATGCAAGTAGCCTATATTACTTGAATGATTGTTATGGAAAATGATGGTAATCTTTTCTTTTTGCTTAAAACACCAATTAGGTGAATTGAATAAAAGCTACTCTATTATGTGGAGAAGATTGATTTTTGTCAATTCTAGTATATTGCACTTTGTATTTCTGATTCATGATTTAGCATCAGGCTACTAAGCATGAATCCTGACATTCACATTGAGATTTAACTTGTGAATGAATCAATAACAATAGTACTCTACTACTAATACTACTACTACTAATAATAATCATAATAATAATAATAATAATAATACCTATAACATATATATAAAAGCAAAAAACATTTATATTTCTCTTCCAATTTTAGCCTTACTTTAATATATAACTTACTCAATAACTTCCATTAATTTCTTTCATAACTTCCTATTTAACTTTCTACTATTAACTTCCTAATTAACTTCTATTTAAAATTAATATTAAATAAAAAATATCATTTAAATTTTTACACGTGTGCATTAAAAAAGCAGACAGTCTCGACGCTAATAATAATAATAATAATAATAAGAATAATACTAACAATAATGATAATAATAATAATAATAATAATAATAATAAGAATAATACTAACAATAATGATAATAATAATAATAAGAATAATACTAACAATCATACAAATAATAATAATAATAATAATAATAATAATAATAATAATAATAATAACAATCATACAAATAATAATAATAATAATAATAATAATAATAATAATAATAATAATACTAAAAATCATACAAATAATAATAATAATAATAATAATAATACTAACAATCATACAAATAATAATAATAATAATAATAATAATACTAACAATCATACAAATAATAATAATAATAATAATAATACTAACAATCATACAAATAATAATAATAATAATAATAATAATACTAACAATCATACAAATAATAATAATAATAATAATACTAACAATCATACAAATAATAATAATAATAATAATAATAATAATAATAATAATAATAATAATAATAATAATAATAATAATTTGTATAATTTGTATAATTTGTAAAAAGTTGACAAAATTTAGGCAGTGATTCGGAAGAATTAATGACCATAATAGATACACACTAGGGATTCAAATTAATTGGGATTGTTTTATATTGAATCAAGATACGACTTTTATGTGTAGCATGATAAACATGCTGAAGAATCCTTGTGGAAAGCAGAAGACATGATTCTATAATCTGTACGTAGTGTGCCGTATTCTTGTTTCACTTAATTTGAAGTGCGGGTGTTTGCATGTGTGAATCAATGTTTTGGGAAAATGCTGCCATATTTTGTCAACATTAATGTGAGTAATTAGTGCTAACAAATGTGCCATTAATATAATAAGAACATTATCAGATGGCCTACCCCTTCAGAATTCCTGCCAATTTATGGGCCCTTGGTAATATCTCAAGCAGTTCCAATTCTGTTTGAGCTTTAATGCCTGTTTGTATCCACGGTGGAATGCGCCACCCACCGTGCGTTTGGCCACTACTCTAATTTAGAGCTTCTAGTTTTCACGTTTTATTTGTATTGGATTGGGATGTGAGAAAATAAGTGCTGCCTCCAAACCAAACATAACTTTAATGTTAGTTATTTGTGGTTTCATCTGATATCAAGAGAATGTGGTTGGATGATCTTCATTTATTTGGTTATTTCAATATACTGTAATATCTAGTGAAATAAAATGTAACATCTAGTGAAATATACTGTATATGTGTGACCGGGTTATTAAGAATGAGGTTGAGGTAAGCTTTGGTAAAATTGAGTTTGAGATGCCTCGACCTACAGTGCACTAAATGAAATCATACATGTTGGTTTATATACATGTTTGTGCTAGAGATTGCTGATATGACTAGAATAAAATGGACAGTTTGTATGGACGACTATGCTGGTAGTTGACTCTTCCTCTTGGTTTGGAATCAAAACAATTTTATCATAATTTGATAAGGAATAGGATGTCGAACATGAATCAGCTTTGTTGTCACAGATACATACCGATGTCTTTTGATGTTAATGCTAGTACCCATTTATATAACTAATAAATTCAATTTTAGTTTCACATGCATTTGACAATGAATAAATTATTGGCATGACATATTGTCTTTCTTTTAATCAATTAAACTTCATAGGATATAGTGTTTAGTGTTAAATAAAGTTAAGTAAGGAATGTTTATAAACGTATAAATTTTGTTTTTTTATTGTAGGTTTTATCATTTCATTTTTAAATTTAGATATGACTTTTTAGTTCTTAGGCCTACTAGTATTATGTTTTTAGACCTATTAGTATTATGCTCATCTGACGTCATTGTCTTAGGTTTTAACTATGGATATATTTGAGCACATTGGGTTTCTGGTTCAGTTTGGTGATAAGGCTGAAGGAAACTGTTTAAGTCAATCATCTCCTTTTTTTGCAAATTCGGATCCCGACATGCCCGCCGTTCCCGTTCCTGTTACGCAAGTTCATGACTGGCTTATGCAAAATATAACTTCTGCTTTGGAACATATTTCTGAAAGGACTTCTGCAAAGGAAAATGGGCCAGCCAGTGGCACTGATCAAGATGTTGCTATGACTGACGCATGCAGTGTCTCTGTTAAGTTTTCAGCTGGTACCAGGGATTCGTGTTTCATTGAAGGGGTCTGTAAATCGTCTTATGTGAAGCATGCATCTGACATGAAATGTTCATCTGTTAAGGTTTGTTTCTAAAACGTCTTCTTCTGTTGAGTTGAAATTTTAAGTTTTTATATTCAACGTAGCTATCATCTTTGCAATTATATTTATAACCTTCAAATATCTCCCGAACTATTGATATTAAGTAGGAGGTAAGTCGAAATGAAATTTGGAATGCAGTTATATCCGAATCATAAACTCCAAAGTCGGTTTTTACATTATATAGACTAAAGGTCATAATTAGTTTTCTAAGATTGAGCCAAATCACTGATAGTGAATCTGTTCTAATATAGGAAATAAAGTTACAAATGTGTACCATAGAGAATATAGAAATGCAAGATAAATTAAAGGAATTGAATCTGTTAGGAAGATCCTAAAGTCCCATATTGGTTGGAGATAGAGCATTGAAATAGTTTATATAGAGTGACATCCCTCACCTTACCAACCGGTTTCCTAGGGTTGTGATAGGCCAAACTCTAATATGGTATAAGAGCCTTGTTTAAGATCCAGTGGGCCCACCTGCTATCAGGTTTCTGCTATTGAGCCACCCACCATTTATTTCCACGCTCCAGATGTTCAGTCTTGGACGTGAGGGTGTGTGTTAAGAGTCCCACATCGGACAATATATGACATGAACATTAGTGGGGGTAATTCTCACTCTACCAGTATTCAGAGCCTCATGGAATTTTGTGCATAAATGTTGAAATTGCTGGCACAAACATCGGACAATATATGACATGAACATTAGTGGGGGTAATTCTCACTCTACCAGTATTCAGAGCTATTTTGTGCTGTTGAAAGTGTAGGATTGGATTTTTAGCCTGTGAAGGAGAAAAATAGAGAGAGATATTGAGTAATATGATATTAGATTGAACAAATGTAGTAAAAAATATGTCGAAAAATATTTTGAATATGATTAATTATGTTAAGCATGCAAATAATATTATGAATATGAACATATATACAAACTCTAAACTAATGGACCTGATTAACGAGCCAATTAGTAATTACATATTTATAACACTCTACAAGCTGGTGAGTGAATATTTATCTTTCCCTGCTTGCAACTAAGTTGACTGAACTGTTCTGTGGGCAATCCTTTTTGATAACCCGTCTGCCAACTATTGCCCATAAGGTAGGCAGTTTATCACTTTGATATCTAGTTTTTTCTTGATAAAGTGTTGGTCTATCTCTATGTTTGGTCTTTTCATGTTGAATGTGATTATGAACAATAGTAATTGTCAATTTATCGTTACTCTCCACGTCTCATTTTTAGTGTCCCTTTTGCAATATTTATGTCTCAAATTATTTGTCCCTTTAGAATACCAATGCAACTTTTATTAATTTTTTCCACTAATATATCTTTATTTATTGTATTTCAACTCAACTTACTTCAATTACTAAAAGCATTTTAGTAAATGAACCTCATTTTATCTTAAAAAATGTGCAAAACTCAAAGGGAAACAGCTAGTGTGAGAGGGAGAGAGTACAAAATAACTTTATAGGGCCTTCATTATTTAATAATAATGTCATCACCATAAATAAGAAATACTACCTCCGTCCTTAAATATAAGACTCCGTTGAGAAAATCACGGGAATTAAGAAAGTTGGTTAGAGTATTAAATTTATTGACTATTTTGTATAATTTTACCAGTTTATTCTTAGGAGACAGAAATAGTTAATGTGTATGTAATTGTATTTATTATAAAGAGCAAAAAAAGATGTAATATAATTAGGGGTATGCATGGAAAAAAATAATTAATACACTTTGAAAGTTGAAGAGAGTCTTATAAAATGAGACAAGAAAAAAACTCAACAGAGTCATATAATTAGAGACGGAGGTAGTACGTATAGTTTTCCTCCTTATGAATGTTTAAAGAAAAGTGTATGGTCTCCTCTGTAGTGCTTAGAGCCCAGGCACATGCATCTCCCAAACCATACTCGCTTGAGGTGACTGTTTTAGCCCACATAAAGCCTAACTCAATGTACACACTTTGTTTGTTCCACTTGTGGGACTAAATCCTGAGGGAATCCCGATGTACACCTCCTAGTCTAAGTCAAAGGAAGTAATCACAACAAACAGCCACAAAAGAACAAACTACTGGTGTCAATGGGCATGTGAGATAAACAGCACCTGTACAGACTAGTGAGTAATGTTCGTACACACTGGTTACAGCGACTTTACGAATGGTGAATAAGGACTGTACATACATGTGAACAGTAGCATATGAATGGTGACCATATGAGCTGGTGAGGAGAACCATACAGCTAGGTCAACAAGGCTGACTCAGTCAGCAGGCAGCGACAGCGCTAGCAAGAAACTCGGTACAACGAAAGTTTCAAACACCACATTGAAAACAGCCAAGAAGGCCGCAATGAAAATGGCAAAGAGTGTTAAGATAATAGAAGCAGAGAAAATAATCTGATTTGTATTTCATTCTCTTGGCAAAATAGAATACAAACAGTAGCTATATATAGCTGGCACAACTCACTAACAAACTTACAGCTGTGCCCTAACAAACTGACAGCCGTGAATAAAAGAATCTGTGCCCTAACAAACTGACAGCTGTGAAAAGAGAAAAGGACAAACAATAGAATAAGACAAAACAGTAGAATATTCTATTCTAATAGTCCCCCTTAGAATCAGAGGGTGTCTTCAGTAGCTCCCTTTTACTGAAAACTCTGAGCTTGTCTCTTAGAGGTAGGAATTTGACAGCAGAGAGAGGTTTGGTTAGTGCATCTGCCCATTGGTGTTGAGCAGGAACATGAACCACAGTTAAACTCTTGCTGATGACTTTTTCTCTAAGGAAGAAAATGTCTAATTCCATGTGTTTGGTTCTGTTATGAAGCACAGGGTTGTGAGCTAAAGTAACTGTGCTTAGGTTATCACATAGAATCTTGGGAATTTGAAAAGTGTAGTGTATTTCAGTGAGCAGAGATTGGACCCATAACATCTCAGAGGCAAGTTGAGCCATGCTTCTGTACTCTGCTTCAGCACTTGATCTAGCCACAAGTTGCTGCTTCTTGGACCACCAAGAGATCAAATTAGGCCCAAGAAAAACACAAGCACCTGAGGTTGATCTCCTGTCATCAAGATCTGCAGCCCAGTCTGCATCACAAAAACCCAAGAGAGAAAGAGGTTGCTGTTTATGGGCAGGTTGAATGAGAAGACCATAGTGAAGTGTCCCACTGAGATATCTCAGTATTCTCTTGACAGCTTTCCAGTGATCCTCCAAAGGATTGGATAAGAATTGGCACACCTTGTTAACAGCAAAAGAGAGTTCAGGCCTGGTCAATGTTGCATACTGCAATGCTCCAACAACAGATCTAAACAGGGTGGGATCTGCAACAGTAGATGAACCAAATTTAGACAATTTACTGCTAGAAACCATAGGGGTAGGCATAGGATTAGCTGTGGCCATATTCACTCTAGTAAGCAGGTCACTCACATACTTAGATTGAGATAAGATGATAGAACCATTAGGCAGATGAGAGACTTCAATGCCTAGGAAATAATCCAACTTACCAAGATCTTTGAGGGCAAAATTAGAGTTAAGACTCTTAATAAGCTGAGCAATATAGGCAGTGGAATTTCCTGTGATGATGATATCATCAAAATAAATTAAGACCATGATAATGAGGCTGCTGTTGTGAAGATAAAACAAACTGGGATCACATTTGCTAGGCTGCAGTCCATGAGTCAGAAGAGAACCCTTGAGTCTGTCAAACCAGGCTCTTGGAGCCTGCTTTAGACCATATAAAGCTTTGTTCAGCTTGCAAACCAAAGACTTATCAGTAGCCTCAAACCCAGGAGGTTGTATCATATAAACCTCCTCTTCAAGTAGCCCATTAAGGAAGGCATTATTGACATCAATTTGCTGCATCTGCCAGTCATTTGTGACAACAAGGGTTAGCACAAGTCTTATGGTGACAAGTTTGACTACAGGGGGGAAGGTTTCTGAGAAATCACTCCCAGCCTGTTGGTGAAAACCTTTGGCAACCAACCTTGCCTTGTATTTAAGAATGGTACCATCAGGGTTTTCTTTCACACGAAAAACCCATTTGCAGCCTATAGGTTTCTTGGATGCAGGTGGAGGCACCAAAGACCAAGTCTGATTTTTCAAAAGGGCCTGATATTCATCTTGCATAGCTTGAAACCAGTGAGGAGTAGTCCAGGCCTGTTTGATTGAGGTAGGTTCCATGGGAGTTAAGAGCAAAGTAGGATTGACTCTAGGCTGAACAATGCCATTTTTGGCACGAGTTTGCATAGGATGAACATTGAAAGGGTGAATAGGAGGAATAAGAGCAGAATTAGAAGAAGAAGAAGGGATAGGAGATGAAGAGGAAGGAGATATAGTGCTGGCCTCAGCCAGATCAGAAAGGTCAGAAGGAGAAGAGGGAGAGCCTGCATTAGAGACAATAGGAGACATAGGCTGAGCAGAGATAGGAGAATAAGAATGTTCTGCAGTGTGGGAAGCAGCATTAGAAGGTGATGGCTGAGAGGAGACAGGGGGGAAAACCTGCTGCAGTGGGGGAATATGAAAAGTAGGAATAGGTGGAGAGGCAGAAGGAAACCAAGAGGCAGAAGTAGGGGAAGTCACAGGAGTGGAGGAGCTAGGAAAAAGCTCAGGGTAGGGAAATTTAGTTTCATGAAATAGGACATCTTTAGATATATTTATGTGTCCATCAGCTGAAAGGCATTTGTAGCCTTTGTGAACAGAGGAATATCCTAGAAAGATACACTCCTGAGATCTAAATGAAAGTTTGTGGGAGGTATAGGGTCTAAGGAAAGGGAAACAGGCACAACCAAAAGCCCTAAGTGAGGAATAGTCAGGAGGTTTGTGCATTAAAATGGAGTAAGGAGATTTATTTTGAAGGGAAGCACTAGGTAACCTATTGATAAGGTAGGCTGCAGTGAGAAAGGAATGATCCCAATACTTGAAAGGAAGTTTAGAATGAGCAAGAAGAGCAAGGCCTGTTTCAACTATATGGCGATGTTTCCTTTCCACTATGCCATTTTGATG